TGCATGCTAGGTGCCGTTCTAGGCTCTGGAGAAACTTGAGTAAAGCAGAAAACGTCCCTGCTCTCCAGGAGCTTACGTCCACTCTAGGCATGAGGTGAGGGACACTGACGGGGGTGGGAGGATAAGGGGGGGATAGGGCAGGCTGGAGTCGCAGACACCCTGTCTACAAGTGAGATGCTAGAAGGGACAAGCGTGTCTCAAATACAACAAAAAGTGGAGACCAGGTAAGGCCTGGCAAGGACCACAGTACCACATCTATGTAGGCCAAAGCGGGCCTTAGAAAACAAGCATCCTACCATTTCGCATAAACTCATTTTTTGTTTCCAGATGGATAATTTGAGAAACTGAGATGTTTACTAGGTTTCCCGTGGCTGAGTCTGTGACAGGCTGGAACTAGGTGAGAGGATCCGCCACAAAGACATTTGCCCAGCAAAACTGCCTCCCAATAAACAGGTATGTTATCGTCTGTCAGAGGTCCATAAAAACCCTCTGATAGCAAATGCTGCTATGAATCCAAAGAAAGTTCAAGGTGAGGTGATGTGCTGAATCTTTCTAGGGATTATTGGGAATTAATTTTATTTGTAAGTTGTCAAAACTCAGTGACTCTAGATATAAAAACTTGAAAAGCTAAAAACCTGAAAAAACCAGCAATGAATCTTTGATCTTTTAAAAGAATGGCTTCATCTGTGTTTATATAAGTAAGACAGTCTGTGAACAGGCTTGACCAAGCTGGTGCTGAGAAGGCTCTTTGAGTAAACACCGTTCGTCCTACACTGGCTGGAAACACACATGACTTCACATCTGAAACCCTTTAGAACACTGTTTTTCCTTCTAAACATCCATATGCAATTTTTTTTAAATACACAAGAGATACCCAATCTTTTCTGGATGGTAAGATTAGCGGTGATTTTGTTTCATTATATATCACTGTATTTTCAAAATTTTGGGCAATGAACCTGTATCATTTTATAGGAAAGTCTAATTTTGTAAAAAATGAAATAGAATTTCCTCTTTCAAAAAAGGATATATAGTATGTTTTGAGCCTTATTGCTGTTATTGTTATAACTCCAATCAGAAATTCCAACTCTATTTTATTTATACAGAGAAACATAATCCTTTGGTAGAAACTATTATCTAAGTTAACAATCCAAAGACAGTGACTACAGTTAGAGAAAGGGCTTGGGCTTAAGAGTCTCACAGACCCAGCTCAAATCCCAGCTCCAATACATACCAGCTGTGCAACCTCAGACAAGTTTTATAACCTCTCTGATCCACTGTTTCCTCATCTGTGAAATGTCAGTTGTGAGGACTAAAGGGCTACCATGTGCCTGAAGGTATGCAAACCCACAGAAAAAACTCAGTTTTATTCTGCTTCTTCTTTTTTTTTTTTTTTTTTTTGAGACAGAGTCTCATCTTTTTGCCTGGGCTAGAGTGAGTGCCGTGGCGTCAGCCTAGCTCACAGCAACCTCAAACTCCTGGGCTCAAGCAATCCTACTGCCTCAGCCTCCCGAGTAGCTGGGACTACAGGCATGCGCCACCATGCCCGGCTAATTTTTTCTATATATTTTTGGCTGTCCAATTAATTTCTTTCTATTTTTGGTAGAGATGGGGTCTCGCTCTTGCCCAGGCTGGTCTCGAACTCCTGAGCTCAAACAATCTGCCCTCCTCGGCCTCCCAGAGAGCTAGGATTACAGGCGTGAGCCACCGCGCCCGGCCTATTCTGCTTCTTCTAAATGTGACAAATGTATTTGGAGATAGTGGCTGATGTAAAATAAATTGGTAATTTGAAATATTTTCATCTGAAAACAAATGCAGATAATTTTCAAAGTAAAAAACCAGATTAGAAAGAAATGCTGTACTTAGTACTGATCACATGCACCCCTGCTCCCAGACATCTGGTGGGAAGAAAGGGACATGAACAACTGAAAGTACCTCTGAGAGGTCCTCTGTAACGTGTCTAGAACAGAGCCTGGCCTCCGGCAGTCACTCAAAAGTATTATAGCTACTGTCATTACCCCTAAATTGGTATGTACAATTAAATAAGAAAAACGTGCCAAATTCATACCTTACAGCATTGTGAGACGTGGCAGTGTGGCAGGCGTGTTAACTGCCGTATATTGTTAAGTGCCTAGCCATTATTTGGGGTGTCAATATATGCTATGCAATCAATACAGCTCATCAGAGCAAGAAATACACAAGGAATATAAGAAGCTAGAAAGACGACAAACAGTCTAACACAGAACCTGAACTTCAGTCAAAATCATTACCACCATGTAGCCAACGCCTTTCACAGACACACAGTGTGCCCTGAGACCAGTGTGTCTCAGATGTCCCCTGATTTCAATGTTCAGGAACCAAATCAATGTGAGGGAGTTTGGGTTGTTTGATTTGGGGAGAGAGAGAGAGAAGATGTCTAGGAAAAGAGGGGCTGAGACCTCAGAATTGTTATTGTAATTTGAATTCCAAGAGTGCAAATTCTTTTTATTACTAGAAACAAGAATCTCACCACTTCCACAAGGAACCTGAACAGAATCTGACTTCGGATTGGACTGCACTCAAGTACTCCTAGATGAGGGGGGAGCATCGGTAACCTGGAGAACAGAGGCCAATGCAGAGTCGCCAGGACACCTGATTTTCATTCAAACGTCTATCAGTCAACCAGCTACACAAACCACTCACTTCATTAACCTGTTCTTGAATTATTTATTATCTTCTCCTGAGTCAGAGGAAATTATTCTTTCTGGTTACTTGCTCTCTCTCCAGGGGTAGTTCAGGGAACTCCAAGCCTGGCAGAGCTGGATGGAGCTTTCTGGTACCTGGCACCCTCTGGCCAAGGGAAAAACGGAAAAACAGCAAATGAAGTATTTCTGGGAAAAAAAGGAGTAGTGAGCATTCTAGAATGCAGATAACTCCCCAAGTCCAAAGAAGCTTAGAAAGTTCCTTTAAAACACACTAGCAGAGGTCTTGTGCGGGCACGATCTGTTCTGTACCCCTTTTTATTCTAAATGAGGTAAAGTTTCCTTTCCCTTAAAAACTGTCAATACTTTAAGGTTCAATTTTCTACCACAAATTAGACCCAGTATTCCAGGGTCTAATTTTGCCATTTAGAAGTGATGGAATCTTGCACCCTCCAAGGCTCTCTGACAGGGAGGAGAGGGGGACTGAGCAAAAATCCTGCTATTTAGAAGTGGCGGAATATTGTACCCTCCAAGGGTGCACAATTCTAAATAGCAGGATTTTTGATCAGCCCCCAAATTTCTGTTTCTCAGTTCTTTCTCACCCCCAGATTCCTAAATCAACCGATTCACAGATTTACCCAATCTTAGAAACAGGAGAATCATCAGGTCAACTTTCTCACTTTAGATGTGGCAGGAAGCCCAGCAAGCGGCGTTCCTAGGGTTACAGGGTTGGAAGCTGCCCTCCTCCCCGGGCTCCCCCTCTCCTGTCAGAGAGCCTCGTAGCAGGAGCTGCTCTAGCTGCTCAGTTCTATTTTAAGATAAACTCTCTCATTCTGGAAAGCACTTATACAAAACACTGGCATCTCACCCACCCCGCAGTTTTCTTCAGGTCCGCATTTCGGGTCATTTCCCACTGTATGCAAGCTCTCCGAGGCTCACCAAAGCCAGGCTTCCAGGGATGTCTCGGGGTCCTTCTGCCACCCAGGCTTGCTGGGCAGGGCCAGGCTGTTAAAGACGGGAGGCTGCACCGTGGCACTCCTTCTAAAACACCTGACCTGGGCCATTCTTCCCACCACCCGCTGAAGGTGAGGATGGGGAGCTTGACCTCAGAGAAGGAAGCCCTGAGAGCTCCATCCACTTGCTAAATGTTGCACAGTCTTTTCGACAACAGCTTCTTCAATCCTGCAGTACGCAGCCTTTTACATGTGACAGTGTGGAATGGAAAACTCAGGGTTCTGTTTTCACCTGACCTTGAATCACTAAAAGTGAGGGGGTGATTTCGTGGTCATATTATGGTATATATTTTTTTCTCAAAAGAGCAGAAAGCAAATATCAGTACAGAAGACATTAGAGTCCACAGTAGATAGAACCAATTAGGATTCCCAGCTCTCTCAGTGCTTCCGTTCAGCAGCTCTGGCCCTCTGTTCCCACACCACACCTAAAGAACTGGGACCCACGACTACTGTCAACCTGCCGTAGCCTGGAAGGCTGGCAGGAAGCTTGTGCCAGCTGGGGATGCCGGCGGGGGG